CTGAGGAACAGTCAAGAGTTTTGGTGAAAAAAAGTAAATAGTAGCTTTCTAAAGGTCATGCGAATTGTTCACTCATTCTATCAAACAGAGGAAGTCTGGAAGGAATTGCAAAAAAAAGAATCCAGGCTGCTCATCAGTGAAGGGCATAGGGGAGGAGAGGCTGAAAAGATGCTCAGTTAACAACTATATGTTCTTTCCTTTACCGCATTCCTGCTCTTCTCTACAGCATACTAGAATTACAAAAAAGTAAAGCTAGGTGGGAAATATTAGTGGTAACTAGCACCGGGTTACGGAGTAGATTGAGCAGAAAAGCTCCCTAGGGCGAATTCTAACAGTTACGGGGCATCAAAGGGCACTTTTCTTGAGCGCAGCCCTCCTTCGAATTCATATAGGCGCTCGACCTCCGGTTTTCAAATTCTTGTCCTTACATTTCCCTCGAAGTGGAAGAGCTTCCGTCAAAATATTATATTATCTTATTACGACACCGCAGTCTCAGATTCGGCTACCCTGAACGCCAAAATGGAGTAGGGGTGGTCATTAGGAAAAGGTACACTAGTGAAGAGAACTCCCACACTGATCTTGCCCCCAAGACGCTACAGTGCTGTATTACGATAGTTTTAGACAAGTTTAAGGAAGCACATTGCTTCGTTGTGGGTGAGTGGGCGTGTCAGTGAGGCTGGGTTGGCGCATCCCCCCACCCCCCTCCTTTACTTTACTTTACTTTATTAGTATCGGCAAAAGATAAACAGTGAAAAAAACAAGATATGCTAAGGAGAGGAACACAGATTCCGATAACTGCATCAAGAGCAAGGGGAAGTGGTTTGGGGTGCGACAGGGAGGGGCAGATTTTGCAACTCAGAAGGACAGTGGCCGCCCAACACTGTAAGTTCGACGGCGGACGTAATTCGAACTCCGGATACCATCTTAGTAGGTCCGCCAACCTCGCTGCGGCCCGGCTCCCATTGTCGCTTGAATACAGAAGGGGGGGGGGGGGGGGGGGGGAGGGGGAGATAACACAATAAGAAAAACAAAACTCGCAAACTCGTAATGAGGCTAAAAAAAGCTATGATAAAAGAAACGGCCGTAACAAAAGCTGACGCTAAGATGCGAATGATACCAAGACAAACATACACTGTAAGTCAGTCATGGAGGGAGACAACATCTCGAATCAAGATAGACGAGAAAACATGAGGAAGGACATAAGCTCCTCCCAGCTGTTTTCCACCAGTCAATGAAGCGGGCAAGCGATGAACAAGTTGTGAAACTCGACCGATACTAGCTGATATGATACATCCTTGTTGCTCGCCGAAACAAACGCGAAAAACGGTTTGGCACCGCGCCAAACACATCCTCCCTCTATGCGCCTCATCATCCGCAGCTAACAAGACCGTATTATCGAGTAGAAGTAGAATAAAACCTTTTTTGAAGAAGAAGCACAATTTTCGTGAGAAAGAAGCCAAAACGAAGCTAGATGCTATGCAAAATGCTTTACTCTGATTGGGCATGGCTACTCCTCGTAAAATAAATAAGGACCAAATAAAGTTCAGTAACTTACTTTATCTGCGTTAAACTTCTTTCCATTGCGGCAGCTTACTGTCACTGACTTTTTTGCTCGCAGCCATTCGACCAGCGTGACCTTGAACGTAATACTCGATATCTTGGAGTCAATTTTCAGCAAATTCCAAAAAGGTTCACTTGGTCTGCAAACATTCACTCACCTCATGACTGTAACGGATGTCAAGACCCTCAGCGAGACGCTCAATCAGTTCGACGCATCCGTCGCTGAGGAGAGCATGGGCTCCCGCGAACTTGATTCACAGCCTCATTTTGATCCCAATTCCGCCAAGATACCTAAAAATGTGTTGAATTTCCCGACCACATCAAAAAGGTCATTTTAAGAGTCAAATGCAATCGTCACAGAAAAAAGTGCGCCAGGTAAAAATCTCACATCGGTCAATTTAGCACCACAACTGAACTCAGCATTTCCGAGATTGAACTGAAAAGCTCGCTCGAATGCATCTCCCCATTTCAGTCGAGTTCCTTTGACGAGTTTCTTGTGTGCAATATTGATTTGATCTGAAATTTCCATTTAGATATGCTGAGGTACAAATCATGCGGAAATCCTAGAATTAACTGTGTTTCAAGATGTAACAGGAACACAACATCTGAATTTTTATTAACAATTATTTCAAATTATCACAACCATACGAAACTCAGTCAGATCACAGAATGGTATAAGAGCACTTAGGGATTTGGGCAACCTACGAAATTAATCGGAACGAAAACAAAATTAATAAATTAAAACTAAAATTGTCCTCTAATCTATTCAAACGAAGGCAATGCCTTCAAACTTGTGAGGGTCATGCAGAGAGGTATCAGGTAGTAGTATCTTTCCATTAATGTCAAATATAGTTACGTAGCTGGCAACCGGCTTTCCGTCTTTCTCTTCGGACTTCAAAGCAATGATGAGGTTATCGCCTGTGTCAGGAATGAACTGCAATGCCGAAAAGCCACGAGCTGGGTGGGTGAGTTCACCTACATGAACCACTTGGAAGGATGACAACGAAGGGTCGCCGATAATCAACAGATTGGTGCCTCTGAAACCAAAATAATCCTTAAAATTATTACATTTTCAATAATTACAATTACTACTTTTTCTGTAGTTTAAATAGAGAAGTAATTGTTAACTTTACCTAGTTTCATCTTCTGCTTCTGTGTATTTTTTATGTGAAGCTCTCCTTGGAAGGAAGAACCATTTTTGGTGCGTATCGGACCACTGCACAGCTTCATGGATCATGTATCCAGGATACTCAATTCCTGCAGCACGTCGGACCTTGATGAAGACGTCGCGCCAGTTCACGTGTCTGATCTAAGAAAAAATAATCATAATTTTGAATACAGCCGTAACATTAAACTATATAACGATATACATACAAGTAATACTACGAGCGTTTTTTTCTGTTTTTTCTCTGAGCGAAGTTGATTTTGAAGAGAAACTGGTTTCAATAACGTAGTCACTCAAATCAGCTTGCTTATCAAAATCAACCTATTTTAAAAGTGAAAAGAGAGAAAATTCCAAGTAACTTAGGAGAACCACCGCGAAAAAACACACAAAAAATGTTGGCAGTATTGTTTGTGTACTACTAGCATTATTATTTGTAATACAATTATTTCTAATTACCATAATTTCTAGTAAAAATCTTCCCCAGCCGATTCTATTCAACCTAAAAACTACTAAAAACCTACTTTGCTTACCAGAAATGGCACGAGACCTTTGACTGAAGAAAAAAATATTGTAAAATGGCAACATAAAACGAAACATAGTGGTTCTGCCAAAACGACAAGCGGGATGTTGAGGTTTTGGCCTTCATCGTATGCTGCGAATTTCTTAGAATACGAGCCACATGCAATGTCCAAAATTCAGTTCTTGGCCTCTTTTCCAAAAACCCAGTTGTTCAAACCGTAGCGTGCTCCCCTTCGTTGGCATTCAGGTTTACCAGTGTACTTGTTCAATGGTGTAGCCCAGTAACCGTATAGGACTCTCATGGCAGAATGTAGAAACTTCATCAAGTCTTCATGGCATAGGTGAGCCCATCGCATTATTCTCGTTCCTTATGAATTTGAACGCTCTACGACTAAGATGGCTGGAGTTAACTTTGGAGTCTGGTAACTTGTTATGAGTAGCAGATAAACCTTCTTCAGTGCACTTATTCCCATTTTCCTGACCTGGAATACTTCCCACCCTCCCCTCCCCCTCTTCGACAGAAAAGAATGTTTCTAGCCCCATCCTACTCGGCACACTCTACCCAGTGCTAATAGCTCACCCTCATCTCCGTATGTTGCCCACATGGATGCAATTTTCCGCGGTCTCTAGAGTGTGCAAAAGCCGAATTAGATTTCATCGCAAACTCCGATGAAAGCATTAATGAAAAGAATCAGCCTAAAAAATTCTACTCGGGGATTAGTATCGAGTATCATAGTAAAATTTAAACACTGACTACCAATGAGTAAAAATTACAAATAAAATACAACAATATAAACGACTTACAAGGAAATTTATTTTGCCCAATCTGAATAAAAAAATAAACCCTATATCACTCATTTTGACTACCATGCTTAATAAAAAACACGAAAAATAGATCAATGAGCAGGCTACATATAGTGCACCGAAAAAAAGGCTGGAGCAAGCCGACAAGTCTTTTCTGAAGTCTTAGCTATTTATCAGCTAAAATCTCATGGAACAATAAGAAGCCATTCGATATTTTCCTCCCTCTTGATCTTTTGAAACACACCTCTCATGCACTAATTTGAAGCACCAAATGTTTTAAAAACTGCAACATTTGGCTTGTTTTAACCTTTTTTTGTACAGAACGGTTCACGTTGTTCTACACAGGCAGCAAAGCATGATGCACACATCTATTCGCCTTCGCTCACATATAAGGTCGCTGCTGTAATTCATGAATGAAGGACGACTTACTTCACCTCTACGGGATATTACTTTTATCCAGAAGGGATTGTCATTGACGTATTCACCATCAGTAGTTGTCCATTCCTTAAAAGGAGATTTCAAGGCAGTCGCACATTATTGAAATGAATGCGAGCTGAACAGAAAATGTCACCTTTCCCAAACCTCCAGCATAAAGATGCTCATCTTTCACAGTTAACCATTCGACCTTCAGCCCTTTAGTAGAGTTCCCAGGTCCATCATTCAAGAAAATCCAAGGATATGCCTGAAAGCGAAATTACTAAATTTTTGAAATATCAAAAGAAATGAACGCGCTACCAGACTTGGCAGCGAAGAGAGCACTCTGAGATCGAAAATGGCTACCTTATTATCCCGAATTTCATAAATCAAGCCAGTTCTATCATCTCCAACAAGAAGTCGGCCATCAGACGACGAGGTCGGACAATTCCATGGCGCGATCACCAGAAGCTATTTGACTAGAAACAAAGCGAATTTCATACTCTTTCACATCAGCCTGTTTAATAAAAGTTTTACTCACGTGGAGAGGGCGAAATCCGAGCTGGCCTTCCATTCAACAGACACTTTGCTATGATCAGGACTAATTCTCAAAACACCGCGCTTTGCATAACTGGTCCACTTTTTGCTGGAGACCTTGCTGTCATGATCAAGATCAGTAACTGCCAGTAGATCGATCTCAACTGTTCCATCATTGGATACTTCTAGCTGTGTGTATTTGACTGTGGTTGAAACCAGGATCCTGGAAAATAGGGGATCATTCGGGTATCACTTGATGTCTCTCTCATGTTCATTAAACCTGTTTGCGAATAGAAACGTGCCATTTGCGCCTGCTGGATTGCCACAGGTTGGCTGGCGAAAAAACGCATAAAAAGGAACGTTGAAATTATTGACGCAATGGCAACCATGAGCAGGTCAAATGTTGAAGCTCCAGGAGCTCCGAGAAATCTGTTGAGATTTAACGACCCAAAAATACCGCCTCCACTCCTCTTTCTCCGCTGCTCAGGACGTCGCGGCATTACCATTTCGTCACTGAAAAATATCTGTCGAGAGATGTAATGTGACGATTGATCGGTACAGCAGCACAGCGTCAGCGGAAAATAGAAAAAAAAACAGAAGGAGAGCGGAAGAGGAAATCCCAACAAAACATGCAAACGACATTGTTAAAAGGCGAAAAAAAAACGAGCGAGCGAACAATAAAAAAACAAACAAACAAATCGCGACAATTATTCAAGGGAGGCAACCAAGTCGATCATTTGCGTTGGTGATTCGAAAGAGTGGCCTCCTGACTGATAAGACACACATAATACAGCGGAGTTAGCGGAGAAACCAAACTACAAAGAAACAAATGTAATCACATAATCACAAAACACAAAATAAATAGAAACTGCGCTGAGTGCCAAATAGCGAAAAAAAACCAACGCGCAGTTCTATGTTTCTTGGATAATTATTCGAAATGGTCAGATGCTCCCTTACAGCAGCTCAGTGACATCAACTGGGTGATCATTCCCTTCACAAATGACGATCCAGAGACCAGGAAGATACGAACGCGCCCACGAAGCAATTAACGATTGCATATCAAGGGGAAGTTCAAAAGGCATGGACAGTTGCGTCGCGGGATGGACCGTGCTAGCTCAGTGCGCTTGCAAAAGGAGAAATGGTCTCTGATGTTTAATGATGCAAATAGGCAACCTGAAGTCGTCTGGAATTGATCGACAGCGGTTGGTCCAGTGCTACAGACTTTTTTCCGGAAAATCAATATTAGTGCGGCGAAATATCCGGAAAGTGAGACCCCATGCGGATTCGAATCCCGTCTGGGGTCAGACTTTTGCCTATAAGTCAACATCTTTGGACATACTGCAATGTTTTTCACGGAAAGGTGACTTTAAGAAACTATGCACGTCTCTCACGCCTTCGCATAGAAATGAATCATTCAGTATGCGTAAGAAGCGCAGTCAAACAGCATACCTAGAGGTTCCAATCTCGTATTGGCTAAATCACAACAGCTAGCAGAATACCACCTTTTGAATCGCTATAGAACTTGACTTGACTATAGAAAAGAACGACACGACAAAGTGGTAAAAAAATTCAATAACAAAGAAAAAAAAACAGGCACAGCGGCCTGAAACGCTTTATACTCGTTGCTGATGCGAGCTACACGAGCATACCGCGAACAGAGGGTGCACTTAAACGTGTTGTCACCGTATCGCGGAGACATAGCATCTTTCCTTATTCGAGCCACCATTGGAAAGAGCTATTAGTGGAACAAGTGCACGACCACTGATTCGACATCCAAACTTGGCGTGGCACGGGGCAGTGGGTGGAGACTTCTTTCGCATGGCGTCTTTGTCACATATTTTTGAGCCGAGAAAATAGTACATTTTGCGAGCTCGCGGATAGAACGATCCCGTCCAGGTAAGACAAATGCACAGCAGTTGAGCGCGGACAAGCCCTCAGGAGGTCTCTCAACCAAAACCGAAACAATGATGCCGCCTGCCACCAGCACTTGGCTTTCACTATGCAGTGGCACTCTATCATCAAAACAAATCAAGATAAAAAAAATTAAAACTGAGACTGCATATGTGTATGTGTACTCAAGCAAATAACTTCACCTATAGTCAACCTACCCATAAGGCTATGATCGGGGCCTTTTGTTTGCATGCGCCAATGGCCAAGAATGTCATGAATGCAATTCCAGTGTTCATCAGCGATCCGATCAGCCTGAAATAATACCGAAACAATCAGTGCATATTTTCACAAACGATCTGCGAATTCAGAGCAGCTTTCTTTCGCTCATAAGTAAGTAGAAGTTCACTGCATGGGTTACAAATCGGCTTGCCCTCTTGAAAGTCTTGGCCACACTTTTTGAATTTGGGAAAGGCAGGACCTACTTTGTGATTCATCACTTTTCCTGTAGCCGAATCCATCATAGCACATTCACGGTGGAGAGGACGATAAGGGATGTTCGCCTAAAAGATAAAATCGACAAATACCATAGAATGTATGATACCAAAAGAAAGCCAGCCAAGGATACCTTCATACTCTGCGTCAGCGTTTCGAGCGTACAGCAGCGTCCAGCAGTGAAGAGTAAGGGGAAGCAGGAGAGTAGCAAGCTGCTGGATTAGGTGCCGTGATCGCGGCGGCTGCCACCGTCCCGCCAGCTGCTAAGCATAGATAATGGGAATTGGATTGCACAACTCTGTGCTTTAGCAGTTGCCCGGGGTGATTGCACACCCTGCTATTTCACGACCCCTAATCCAGTAGTCTTCTACCCTCCTACTTCCCCAACTCGACTCTGGACGATGGCGCACGCTCGAAGCTCTAGGTCGACATCTACCACACATCTTTCCTAGTCGCTTAAAACGCTGGCATACGCTCAAAGCTCAAAGTCAGGCCGTACGCTGGCGCTAGACCGATACTTATACTTTGCTAGTTGCTCGAAGCGCTCAGCTGCCGTACGCTCGCAACCTGGCGCAAAGCATGATTCCATCCTAATAGTGATGTATTAAGGTAGAAATAGTCACTACATTACCTGATGACACATGACCACAATAGGGTTGTTCATTATACCAGTAATCAATTGCGCACCACATCCTACTGGAATTCCCAAACTCAGATCATCCTGAAAACTCTTACTCAGCTCAAGAGGAGCAGGTATGATGGTAATGACGTTACCTGCATTCTGCCACCAGGTCGATCTTTTGCTTCCAGAAGTGTTACTTTTGTTCCAAGAGCTTGCAATTGACGGGCAGCCGCCAGACCACTGATTCCCGCGCCAATTATGATCACATTGGCGGAACGCTGAAAACAATAAGCATAGGAAATGGTTAGTAGTCACGTAACGTTACATAAAGGCAGGCCCCACGTTCACTTTGTTTGCGGCTTACAAATACGTGAGAAAAGCCCACCCGCTCGCGACGGAACTGCGGCCCCGCCCAATAACCGCGGCAAAATAAAGTTTTTGTCTTGCCAACATCTCTCTCCGTTTCTAATGGTAAGAATTGTAAGAGTGAGGTGATGAGGAGAAAGAGTTGGTACCAGCAAGTCAGAACTTGTTTGACCACACATATTCTTCGCCTTTTACACCTAAAAGCGAAGGTTCGGCATAGGGTTCAACAACCAGTGCAATTTAATCTTCCATTGAGAATTCCGAATAAAAAAAGCAAAAATTATACTTACTCTCGTTCTACATGAGAGTGGTGTATCAATCGTGAGAAGACCAATATTGACTATGGATTTCACATTCAAATACTCGTAAATCTTCTTCAATTCCTGAGTCTGCCAAACTCGACACAATCCACGTGAGATGAGGTGCTTTTTACAATGATCAAATGTGAGGTATTCCTAGAAAGAATATTAAGAGAATAGAATAAAACCAATGTAATAATTAGCAACTTACGAATGGGTTCATATTCCACAATGTAATTACAAGATTACGAAGACCAAGGTATATGATAGGTTCGGCAGAATATTGAGGAAAACGCTTCTGAATGGGATTGCAATCATCACTTCGCTTATAAAAAAAATCACAAGTCTAAAAAGAGAATCCCTCATCACAAAAACTTCCATACCAATTCATCATGTTCCATTACATCTGGGCGAACGCAGAATGCCATCGGTTCCTCAGGTATATGGAACGGTGCCATGAACGACGAAGACGGAAGCTCTACAAGAAAGTATTATAACTCCTGTGAAGAAGTTACAAAGCTATTCTCTCCATCTGAATCCCTAACTACCATTGTATTGACAATTCTCGAACATATTTACACAACCGAATTCCAAGAATAAAGAGTAGGTCACGGAGAAAATTCGAACTGGTTCTAACGATGCTGAATGGACGACTTGGACCGCACATTAGGTCTATGAGCGCATCAAGTGCTGGCCCCCAAGTACAGGAGAACGTCAATGAAAAATAGTCACTTTGCTCATGGTGTGGATCAACAAAGTTCACTCCGCGCAAGGTGGCAAGCTACATGAAAAACTTGAAGAGGTTATGTTCATTAGATGTCTTTTTATGAGCACGAATGAACAATCCACCCCAGACTTCACGGTCACGACTAGATGAAGCAATCCGTCATCGCTGTCGCTGCCTGAAGTAATCGCGTGAGCTTGAAGCAGCTGCAGCTGTGGAGAAAAAAACTTGTAACAAGCCAAAATCCGATTTTTCTGTAAAATTATTTTCCGATGATCCTTGACTTGTGTACCGAAATATCGTGTATATGGATAAAGTATGCCTGGAAAACTGTTTTCAAGTCTGTAGAAACGCCCTGAGAAACACAAAAGTACGTGAGATCTAGGCTCCGGCACCCAGATTAGCATCAGGATGACAAAATGACCGAGTAAAGGCCTTCACTCAACCCATCAGCATCTTTGAGATGACTTGAAGCGTGAGTCAAAGGGAAGAAGACCACCAACGCGAGTGAGCAGTTCCCTGCACTTTGAAGAATGAGTTGAACAATCGTGGATACCCCTGAAGCTCCTGTGGAGTCGATCCCACACATGATGAAGGCTCTAATCAAGTCCAGTAGTAAGGAAACAAATTCAGAGTGTTGAAAAGTTTTCCCTTGTTGAATTCTCGTTGTCTTTCCAATGTTCCGTCCCACTGTTTTGCTGTTGAATAAGACATTCAGAACTGTTTGAAACACTATTTTGTGACTTGTTCTAAGTTTCTTTCCGCGGTTGTATGTAATTAGTTTCCACGGATGATTACTGAAGTTCAGGTTCCTAGAGAGAGTTTTTTTTTACACGGCTCAACCCTGACAGCAAACGTCATTACCAAGCGCCGTAAGATCCCACCCACGTCAGTTGCACGGATTCTAATGACACATAGGCCGAGGTCAGTGTCCGTAGTAGTAATTGTTCACATTATCCATTTACCCGTCATTTCGTGAAGAAAAAAGTTCCCATGGTTTCCTCCATGAGCTCAGTGCCTTTTTCATTGGCCACCGTGATCTACTTCTAATGAGACTCTCAAATCGCACACCAATAAATGTTCTCCAGGGGTTGTTCGCTGGCTGGGTTCATACATCACCGCTCTGGCTGGGTTCACACGTTTGCGTCACCGCTCAACAGCGTTGGGAGCGTACGCCAGCGCCAGCGACTAGGAAAGTATGGATAGCGAAGGCCAGGTCCACAGGAGTACAGCAGAGCCTTCGCGGACAGTTTTGCTCAAGTTCAAAAGAGCCTGGGAAACGGCGTTCGCTAGATCGATATCTATACTTTTTCTAATCGCTGGCGCTGGCGTACATTTGAAACGGTAAGCGGCGCTGACATAAACTATGTATGCAGCCTCTCTGCTGAGTATACCGCTTGTTTCGACTAGCAGCAGGGACATAAGCAGTCTCTCCGCAGTCGTCTACAGCTCTGAAACTGCATAATGATTGGAATAGTTCACTTACTCTCCTCTCCTGTGTAGTTGGCAACAGCTGGACTTAAGCCCACTTCGTCCAGATAGTAGTGGTCTCGTAGATAGTATAGCGAAGGTGAATTGTGCAATAAAGGAGCAGCAGATGCGGATAGAATCCAGTTGGGATGACGAGCATCAGTAGCAAACTTTAAAAACAGTATTAAAGATTCTATAAATGTATGTATTATTTATAAAACTTAGCACCTTATCCTCAGGTATATTGCAGTCAAAACAACGGAATTCTTCGATATCAGCAGTTGTAATCACAACGGTTGGCTCCGAATCAAATTTTCGAAATTTATGACAATGTGAGCATTCTAACCAATATGGTAGTAATTGATCCTAAAAGAAGAGACGAGTCAGACATAATTAGGTGACTAAAAACTCAAAATACAGCGAATTACATCCCGTACCACGGAGACGGGAAGGGCGTGGCTGCACACTTAACTCGTATCTCGACTGCGCTTTAAATAGCACATTGCCGTTATGTGGCGATCGTGACCATGTCCTGATTATCCAGCAAAAGACAGGGTGACAGTTGCCTCACACGGGAATGTAAAACGAAACGCATTCTATATTATTATTCGCTTCGGAATGCCATGTTTGAATGATGTGCGCAAGCATGCCCTTTCCATTAGAAGATATGTATATCTGAGACGGACCTGAACGTAGAATCTCGGAGTGGGAAAGCAACGACTCATTTTGCACCAAACCACTTTCCAATCGGCGAAATGCTGACAGTACGTATGGCCACTGAAATGATGTACTTCACAAAATCAGGTAGGCTAACTAGACCTCTACTGGTCGATCCGTTGTCTCTAACAACCTTGCTAATAAAAGCTCTAAATGTTCTGTCGAACAAAGTTTTTTTTTCTGGAGAAAATAGTATTAGGAATCAAACTGACTCACTATTTCCAGATATCATCATAGCATATTCCACAAACATGCTCGCCTTTTGTGATATGA